TAGAATATTAATTCAGCGATTGTGGAAAATTCTTCATTGATTTTTTTTCCTCCGTTAGAGTTTTCGGAGTCAACAAGCCACTTATGCACGAACTACGTCATTATTACGTATAATTCCCGTTATTTATACTTTTTTAAAAAAAACTTTCACGTATAATAATGTAATTTAATAAAAATCCTGTTTACGAATTTTGATGTTTAATTATGTTCCATTTTAAAGCAATTTTTTACGTTAATGTAAAATGTTACAACTCGAACCTGTTCACATTATGACGTCAAAAGTAATTTTGTCGTTTGACTTTCCAATTATTTAAAATTCTGTTACGTGAAACGCTAAACTCGTAATGATTCGTTGATTTCGAATTACGTAAGTTTTCGTCATTATTTTTTAAAATAAAACTAACTTATTAATTATATATACATTATGAAATTTAAATATAAATGATTAAAATTCGAATGTAAAACGAATTTCACAGGTACGAATTATTAAATTTGAATTCTTAAAACGTTACGTTCCAGCACTAATCGTTCGTGATTGGATAATTTTAAATTACGCAACATTCTTAATTTCTTTAAAAAAAATAATAAAATTTTTTTCCTTCTTTAGAATTTTAAACGTTAAATAATTTAAAACGCCATTTTTAAATCTTTAAAAAATTAACCAGACACGAAATGAATTATTAATTAAGTTTTAAAAAGAATCACGTGAGTCATTCATTTAAGCTGATTGGTGCATATGATCACGTGCTCTGTCAAAGCTTGAATTTCGTCATTACACGAAAATTCCAAATATCACCTGACTTAAAGCGAATTAATTTGCGGCACGATTTGAGAGAGAAAGACGTCAGAATATTAAGGAAAAAAAAAAAAATGGTGATAAAGCGACGAGTCATTTACATGTCCGTAAAATAGTTGTAAACAAAACTGATTAAGCAGCTTTTTTTTGGCTGAATAAACGAGAAAGTAGGTTAAAAGGATCTACTATAAAAGGATGTTGTAAATCTGTCGTGTAGCAAGCTTTTAATTGTATTTAATCTTAAAAAACAAGAGGGCTAAATTACAGTTAAACCGAAAATCATGGAGTCGTTCATTTAACTCTGTTGCCGATAAATTTTTGAATCGAAGTCACGTGATAGTCAACCGGGCTGCTAAACCTTCCACATCCGGTCTCGATTCTTCAATTTGAAAATGGCGGCCGAATCAAATGGCGAAAACAAATTTCAATTCCCGATATAACTGCTTTCGGTCTCGAGCTAATCCGTNTATACGTATTTTGGAAATGTTGAGTCGGATTAGTCTAGAATCGATTAATTTTATGGAAGAAAACCTTTCAATCAGTCGTAGTCCGTAAACTTCACACGTGTCGAGCTGTGATTGGAAGGACTCGTAAGAAATCGGATTCCTAAAGAATGGAACGTATCTATGATCTTATAGGGGGGTCAACTGTATATTTTATAATTTTTCTGACATTTATTGAAATTTGATATTTATTTATTTATGAAGATAAGGAGGTTCCTGGTAATTTCTAGTTATGTTAGCAATAGTAACAAACATTCAGCATAATTGATGATAAAATATAAATGGTCTTTGTCAACCTCATGCTAATTTAATTTTAATTTTAAACTATCCAAGAAATTGCTAAGGTATTCATTCATTTTAGTAAATGTGTAGAGTTTTTATTTATTTACCTTTTCAAATTTTAACTTGACTGGTTTAGGATTGATAGCAGTAACAGCTTCTGCTATTTCTTTACCAATTTTGAAAGCCTGCTCCTTACTTCTGCCTTCTAAGAGAACAAAAACGCTAAAAAGAAAAAAATTATTATTAAAATCTTATCATCTACATTTTGAAAAAACTAATTTTAATACAATTTTTTAAGTACCTGTCCGTATCTCCGTATACGACTTTTGCATTCCATTTTGTCGTTGTTTCAATAAGTTTAATTGCTTGTTCTAAAGTTTCCCTGGCTTTTCCTACAATACTGTCAGCAATCTAGTAATTACAAAGTCAATTTATTAAATAATTTAACACTTCAAATATTTTCTATACCCAATATAAAATATTATTAGAATAAAAATTTAAGATTTCTCACCTCGACACAAGGCATGCGCCCTGAAAAATTAGCACTGGTGTAACCATAGGTAACATTTGCAATAAGTTTTAAACCTAGTTGTCTGGCATCCAATAGTTTATATAAAGGCTGAAAATTATTTCAATTATTTACAAATTAAATTATTATTTTTTTACATCAATTCTTTTTTTTTTTGTTTACAGATTTGTATAATTTAATCCCAACTCATTGAAGTAGTTAACATAATAGTATTTAATAATTACCTTTTGATTCAGTAACGCTTCGAACTCTTCCAACTTAATTAAGTTCAAACCCCGATGGAACACAATTAAAACTAGAAATTCCACTCAAAAACTAGAACAACAATTAAAGGTTAAAATTAATCACAATTAACAATACACAGTTAAGAGAAGATATTTAAAAGAAAAAGGTGAAGGTTGTACCACTTTTTTGCAGCACTAAACCCCATTAAATCAATTAAATCATTACGTTTAAAATTTACCCATTTTAAACGTAATTATTCTATGTAATAACATCCGTTTTAAGTGGAAATCATCGTAGAAGGAACGAGTTGTGTGTGTGTGTGTAACCTTGTTATTTATGTTTTAATAAACATGGAGATAAATCGTGATGAGTCATCCCCCCTGAAATTATTTTGATTAAAGTCTACTTCCTGACTGGTCATTCAATCTTCACTCGGCAATTGCGAAACGTACAGACATCGAACACGTGGACACGAATCGTAAACACCGCATTTACAACTCACTTATGTACCTTTGAACCCCCCACGGTGTCGCAATTAATTTAAGCTATTCAATGAGTTTAAAGCCTGTCCTTGATCACATAATGTCGATTAAGCAAAATAATTGAGTTCTTAATTGAATTTCGATAACGTCTGCTAAACGTTATCAAAGCATTCATTCAACCCTTTAAAAAAATCGATTTCTGTCAGTCACGTAGCACTACAAACATCCTAATTGTTACGTCACTAATTAAGATTGTATTTAATTACAATTAAAGTGTAATCTTAAATCTAATGTCGAAGTCGGTACTGCAGTTAATTTCACAGTTTTAACCTGAACTCAATTAGCGACAATTATAATTAACGTTTTAATTTTAGATGTAATTAAGAACAATCTTAAATCTAATTGACTGCAAATGTTGAGCGTAATCAATACTGAAGTTAATTTGCCAGTTTTGATCGGAACTCAATTAACACCAATTACAATTAAACGATGTTTCGATTTTAATTGCATTGTAACTAACTACAATCGAAACTCAATTAAACTTTGTTGTAAATACTAAACAAATGTGTGTTTATTTTTAAATTAATTTTTGTTAATTCATTTCTAACCCAGTATAACAAGTCATCTTAATTTAATTACATGAATCTAATAATAATTAATTTTAAAATTCATCATTTTTTTTTCAAAAAAAGTTCAGTAAAATCTTAATTGTAATTAAGACATTTTATTTTTTTAATCTATTTAATGGAATATTTATTTGTTAATAAAAATTGATATTAATAATTTTAAAAATAATTATATTGTATATATTCTAAAGGCTTAATTGTACATATTAAATACATTTTAATTAAACAGAATTAACTAATTATTGCTACTACACATTTTACAATTAAAATATTACACTAAATATTACAATTTTAATGTAATTAATTAATTAAATTCTTTGTTAATTGTAATTATTATTATTATAATTAATTGAAATAAAACGAATATTTTATATATTTTTTAAATAATTTATTTCATAAAATTACATTCGAGTGCATGAAGAATATAATATTTTATACATTTTTTTTCTTACAAAGAAAAAAAAATTATATTGCTAATTTTGGGAATTTTCCTGATAGTTTCCTTTTATGATTTTCCTTTTCATAGTCTCATACATTAATTATAATTAAATCGATAATTAAAAATAATAATATAAATATATTTTTTTTTATAGATAAGAGGTGGCCCAGAAGACAGTTAACCATAGAAGAAACAAAAAAAAAAATCGCAATTAAGTAAACTAAATTAACTAAGAGAAGTACAATTACCATTGATTTGATTGCCATTTTTTAAACCATCACTAATTTTTACAGGAGAAACCTCGTAGACACAGCTAACTGACTTTTGAGCCACCCTGAATTTTTTTAAAAAAGTGTATAAATATAGATACTTATATGTATTTTTTTTCGTTGTTTAAATATTACAATTTAAGAAATTGTTAAATGTTTAGAATATTCATATGTATCCACTATCTTTTTGCTTTTGTTTTCCTTACAGAAAGGAGGTAAATTAAGTTATTAAATGCAAATAGAAGTAGAGATAGTTGTAGAAATATTCAATTTGATTGCATAGAAGGAAAGGCAAACAAAACGGTTCCTTATGAAAGTACAGACCAAAAGGTGAAGCAAGAGCTGAAAAATAAAAACTGCACGGGCCATTCGAATAGAGGACCGCAGTGTTTTTCCGCACGTTTTGTGGGATCAAGTAAAACTTATCTCACGTGACTGTGATAACTACCAGCGAGAAACTGAAAATGACAAAATCCTCAATACTCTAGGCAAACACTTGTTGCTCCTTTTGAAAATGAGATGAGCAAAATGACCATGGTTCCAAGTAACCGGAGTTGTGGTCTGAGCTCAATTCGACTCGACTTATCAGTCTCTTGCCACAGCGGAGAGGGCGAATGTCGAGAGATAGGGTCTAACTAGAGCCAAAAGGTGGAGCTCTCTGCTTGCCAACTCTGCGACAAACACAAAAAGTGGTCCTCTCTGTGCCTGCAAAACAGCACATTTTTGAGTTACAGTTTTAATTACTTTATTATTAGTCTATTTTATTTGTTTGGAATCTTTGTGTCACCTGACGATAATTTACAGAGCCAAAAAGGATGGTTTTAATTAAGTATTTGTTGGAATACTAAAGGATTTTGATTATACTATTGTGAAGCAGTTTAATTAATGTTTTGAATTTACTGGTTAGTTTTCTTTTATTATGAAATTTATTGAAGCCCTTTTAACATATAAAATACTACAGATTTTAGTTCAGAAAAACAATTTTAAATCATAAATCAGAATAATTTTAGAGTCTACAACAGATTGTGTAACAATGAAGAGACAAAAACACAATTCTACTTTGTTTGAACAAAGAAAAAATACCAAAATTAGAAGGATAAAATATAAATTTTGTCAAATACTGGTATGTAGAATAGCTCAAAAGTCAATTAACTGTAAAATAATCTTAAAAGTATATCTTAGTTAACTGACTTTTGGCTTACCCTGTATAACTGTCTAGTAGTTTTATGTATATCTAATTGCTTTGTTATCCCAAATTATTAATTATTAGCAAAAAAGTAATGTAGGAATTTTAACAGAAATAATAGTTTAAGATGAGCTTAATATGTAAGGAATCAATGCTTAGGGATCACTAAACAAAGCGTACCAATTTTTATAAATTGTAGAGATGAAAACAAGTCTCCTTACGTGTCAAAACAGAAGATAGAAAAACTGGACCATCTCATATCTTACTCTTAAACATAACCAATAAAAAGTTAACATGATTGTTATTTATTCATAAATAATAATCATGACCAGAAATATTAACATTCCAATAACTAGCTTATGAAACTATGCCGGATGTACATTAAACAAGAAGGAAATTATTATGAAATGGCATAAATTTAGATCCTCGAAAACATAGAAAACCAAATGATGACTCTCTTGTATAATTATCAAAATATTAACCAGTAGTATAGAAGAATTAACCGTAAAAAGTCCTTCCATTAAATTACAGAATATTTAGCAGCAACTTTCAGTTTTATATATTTTTAACATACAAATGTTCAATATTCATTTTATAACTGTTTATGTAACAATATAACAAATTTGTTTCATAATATATTACAACAAATATGAAATATTTATTTTTAACAATAACACATTACACTTAACAATTTCTTATAATTAATAAGTGCCTAAAATTTTTTAAATTAATAACTACGTGGACTTTTTTATTGTAATAAAATATACAACTTTTATATGGGCAAAAAACAACTGTACATAGATTTTTTTTAAAATTTTAATTTAATTTAGAAAATGTGAATCTTTAAACTAAAATTTCTGAGAGGGAAATCTTCTGTATAATATCAAAAACATATTGTAAAAGTTGGTCTGATTGTCTTTAGAGGTATATTTAATTAAACCATGCAAGATTTGCATTAACTTTCTTGCACAGTTTAATGATGTTTAAAGAAAAATCGTAATTTGTTTATAGATATTAAATAATATTTTAAAAAGAATGTAGTTATAAAACATAAATACCAGAAAAAAAAAAATTTTTTTTGGATTAAGTACACAATTCTTCACACGACCACAGTTTGTTAGAAGTTTAAAAGGATTTGAAAGAGACAAGTATGTGTGAGAAATGGAAAACAAACAATGTAATATAATATAAAATACATTTAATATTTAATTTTGCACGAAACGGAATTTCGTAATTATTGTATACATTAATAAATGCAGTGAACCAAAATGCATAAATGACTCTATTGGTCCCAATGATAAGTTGCATGTATTATGGACGTCGATTGATGAAGTTCTAAATGCTAAAAACTGAATTGAAAATGATAAAAATGAACGAATAATGACTAGTTCACGAGAAACAGAATTGTGTTGATGTGGAGATAATTCTTAGAATATATTATCGATAATTTAATAAATATATCTTATAATTGCCTTTTCAAACAACTTTTAAAAATACTTTTGTTTTCCTCTGAAAAATTGAAAGTATAGCAAATAGCAAAACCAACAATGTATATATATGCATTGATTGGTTTGAAAATAAATTTTTAAATTTTTTTTTAAATTTTACTCTTAGAAAATATATATTAAATCTATATATATTACTCTGCATAAATTTTTATAATTTTATAAAAATGTACAAATATGCAGATTATAAATTTCATATTTTTTGTGGCTTAGCCATAAATATTTTAAAGAGTAACTTACAATTAAAAATGCACTTTACAAGCATTTGTGGAAATATTCTTTTGTTTCTTTGTACGATAAAAATTCTAAAACTTGTTAAAAATGCTAGAAATTTAACTAATTCCAATATTTTTGACAACTACGTCAATCTAAGGCACGGTTTTAGGAACATTCTAACATAAGAAAAATATATATGTATATATTTACTTTTGAAAAACTGAGTTCAAACTTTCGTTTTGCCGAATTAAATTAAGAAAATTTACTAAATTTAGAAATCTAGAGAGCTCTGTAATTGTCGTAAATAAGTAACTTGAGACAAGTCTCTGTTGGACAAACACAACTTGAACAAAATGGGACAATCCAGAGATATGCAGTGATTTGTCTCATTTCTTGTCCTTGTGCAGGTTTGGCAAATCTAAAATTTGAGATATTGATGTTAGGCAAGAACAAAAATATAATAATTTTGTTTGGTAAAACTGATACACCTTACCTGAGAAAGATGATGGAATTTCCTTTCCCATTTCCTAATCATTTCATTCAGAATAAAAACGACATATTGGGAATCCTTCTTACAGTCACTACAAATTCCTTGATCTGTTAATTCGTTACAAATGGCGCAATTCAGAGGAGTGAAATACTGTGACAACGTTCCTTTACACTGGCCTTGTGGATTAATGCGATTTATGGAATTCTGCAAATGTGGAATGTCGTCGTACCTATAAAACAAACAAAGTTATTTAAATATACAAATTATATTCCTTTGCCAAATAAGAAAGTGAAGTCAAATTTTTTTTTACCATTTTGTGACGTCAACTCCAATTAGGGAAAAAGCCCGATGGAGTGGAGGCAATATAACTCGTCCAATATAATATTTTGAGTTGATTTTAAGTCCCGGATCCTGCAAGAGTTCTTGAGGTTGTCGTATGAGTTGAATCAATGGCAATCCGGGAGAACCATAAACTACAACGTAAGGTACCCGTTCTCCAACTCTAGGTTCGGCTCTGGGATCGATGCGCGTTATCCTCCTGCAGACAGAATTATATAAAGTCAGCAAAAATAAGCGAGATTGTCTCCATTGACAATATGTTGCATATTAATAAACACACTTACTTTGCTATTTCTAAAGCGGGAACGCAAGCATTTCTGGAATATCCAGAACGACCCCTGTACTCTTTTGCAAAAATGTAGTCTTGAAGGCTGGCCTTCTCGTTTATTAATTTCTGAAGTTGTTTTTGAACATATTTCTTTACTAGTGATACATCTTTGGTATTAAATAAGATTTTCAGAGATTTTTCTAAAATCTGAAATATGCAATTTAAAAACTAAACATTTTATTTTTATTTTTAAATAATAAAATGTTTAAAATTTCTACCTTTCCAACAGCTGGACAAGAATCCCTTCTAATGGTTTCGATGCCTTTTGCATCAAAAATGGGTTCTGCCTGATCTGGAGTTTCATACATATAACCCACATACCTTTTCTTTGTTTGTAATAAACATGGAAGATAAACCTAAAAAATATTTAAAATTATAAGAATAAAGTTTTAACATATTTAAAATTTACTTGTTACCAAAATTTTGTTGAGATCGATTGTTCTGTTTGTCATGACAAAGAAATAGCTGGGGGTTACTGGGGGATAATTATGTTGTGGAACAAATGAGAGTGAGCTACATTCATAGTCCTAAGAAATCAACACAATGCACCTCTTGTATAACTGGTATTTTACAACCAACCACTTGATTGGTTTTGTGTAAATGTTTGCACTTAAATCACATAAATTTGCAATGCTGCAAATATTACTAATGCAAATAAGATGAGTAAAATAATAAAGTAAGAATTCTGTGCAGAAATGTTGCATCAAATTCTGGAAGACAAGACATTTGTGAACAATATCTGCACTGGAGAATGAACATTTCATCACACAAGTCTGTGGTAAAATGAATACCAACAACTGCACGATTTTGGCTCCAAAAAATCCACAAGCAACTGTTAGAACATGTTTGCAACTGTCCAAAAGTTTATCTTACCTATGGCAATAAAACATATTAAGTGTGCAGCCCCTTCATTTTTCCATGAGGAAACCATTAACAGTATCATGTATCTAGATAGCTTAGAAAATGTTCTCATTCCACAATTAAATGATGACGACATGGAAGGACACATGCACTTTTAGAAGACTGCACCAACAACTTAGTGTATGGTAATACAGATGCCCAGGATATCCTCAAACGTTCATTGAAGACTGTTTATTCCACTCTTGCCTATAAATCTTGCCAAGTTTATCAAAGTGGCAACAGATACTGCTTTGAGCTTGGCAAGAAATCAAATTTAGATGAGATGTCTGCAATATCATCAATGACACTCACATCAAACCAAACTGACTGAAGTAAAACTGTGTGTTTTGATATAAATGCTTCAACTGATTACATAAGCATTCTGTTTAAAATTTGGTATGCTTTCATGGCAGTAAAGTCAAAGCTTTATTTCCAGTCCAATAGCTATGGGGGACAAGCATACATAATCATTATTTAGACCATCCCGTATCTGAAGACTGATTTAATAAATCATTGCCATACTTACATCACGTAAATATTAAAAGTACCATGTACAGTCAAATGTCGATATAATATCCTCTTATCTAATGCCACCTCCATTAACTGTTAATGGATCTTTGTCAAAAATTAAATAGGGAATCTATTGGTATCTGTGAATTACTAAATGTATGATTTTACACTGGAAACTATTACTAAATCTCAAGGCTTTTAAACTATTAAATTTGTGTGTAAAACTCATCATTACACAAACTCTAGCTGTCTTAGGTCCTTCAATTTAGCACCAGGGGAGCATCTGTCAGTGCTGTGTTTTAGTTACTAATTTATTTCTTCTTTATAGGTTAGGTTAATTCTCTGAACTTTTTGAATAATTATTCGAGAGAATTGTGTAATTTTTGCGTTGAGAACGAAAGTGTGGATGCTTGGCATATTTTGGCTAAATGTGGGCGTCTTAAGGTGTTACGTGATGAAATTTTTGGTTGCGAAGTTCTTACCAGGTCTTTATTTCTTAAAACTTTATCGGAACCATGTTATCAATTTAAAGTGTTTTGTTTTCTAAGAAGATCTGTTGTTTTTTTCTCTTAGGGGGCGTAATTCCTCAATTATAAAATTGGCTTTGCTGCTGGTGTTGTTTGGGAGCATCTGTCAGTGCTGTGTTTTCGTTACTAATTTATTTCTTCTTTATAGGTAAGCAATTTGCTTTCTCATTTGGTTGTTTGTTTTACTTTTATCTTGTTTATTGGTTTTGTATTATTTTTGACAGATGCTCCCAAACTTTAAACTTTAACTAATTATTATATTTGATTTTTAAATCTTAATATTTAAATTGTTATTTATTTAAATTAATATTGTAATATATAATTTTTGATTATAATCTTATGCCTATTGTATTTAAGTGTCTTGTTCTTTTTGGGAGATGATTTTGCTCCCTGCATCAAGGAGTGTATCCAGTATGCGTAATAAATGAAATAAAATAAATAAATTTAGCACCACACTCAATTTAGTGTCAATTTTAGAGGCAAGCAAATGGCAATGCTAAAACAATGTTTGACTGTTGCATTAATACATTACAAATTTTATATTTGCCCATGTAATTAATTATTATTCATTTTCATATTTTATCTTATTTATTTTGATTCTTTTCTTTCATAAATATCTTTCTTACAAGCACATGAATCATCTGAAACCCAGACATATATATATATATATATACATAAATATATTATGTCTATAGTCTTATAGATGTAACTGCTAACATTGTAGTGGCATGTAAAATAAAATTAATAAAGTGTAATTAAAAAATAAAATATACAGTAGACCCCCCTATAAAACGGGTTCCTATAATTATGATTCCAATAAAACTACGAAAAAATTGCGACGGTATCCGTAAAAAACGGTAAAAAAAACTCCTATAATTACGTAAAACGTCATCGGGCAGCCGAACTACTTTCCGCGCCGTCAAGCAAGTAACGCAAATATTTCTACCGCTTTACAAGAAATATGTAAATAATGATGCCAGGAAGTGAACAGCAGCATTGGTTGTTTTCTGGAAAAACTGACTGACACCATTTCGCTTTCACAAAATTCCATTGAACACTAAAATGTATCACACGTTAACAAACGTTACTCATTTAATCCGAATGAAATTAAATAAACCAATGCGTAATTCAGCTTTATTAATTACCTACAGATAAAACAGTGAAAATAATTGCGTTAAATTGAAATCGGTAAAATAAAATATTAAATCGAAACTGCCATAAATATGCAATAAACTCGAANTTTTGGAAATGTTGAGTCGGATTAGTCTAGAATCGATTAATTTTATGGAAGAAAACCTTTCAATCAGTCGTAGTCCGTAAACTTCACACGTGTCGAGCTGTGATTGGAAGGACTCGTAAGAAATCGGATTCCTAAAGAATGGAACGTATCTATGATCTTATAGGGGGGTCAACTGTATATTTTATAATTTTTCTGACATTTATTGAAATTTGATATTTATTTATTTATGAAGATAAGGAGGTTCCTGGTAATTTCTAGTTATGTTAGCAATAGTAACAAACATTCAGCATAATTGATGATAAAATATAAATGGTCTTTGTCAACCTCATGCTAATTTAATTTTAATTTTAAACTATCCAAGAAATTGCTAAGGTATTCATTCATTTTAGTAAATGTGTAGAGTTTTTATTTATTTACCTTTTCAAATTTTAACTTGACTGGTTTAGGATTGATAGCAGTAACAGCTTCTGCTATTTCTTTACCAATTTTGAAAGCCTGCTCCTTACTTCTGCCTTCTAAGAGAACAAAAACACTAAAAAGAAAAAAATTATTATTAAAATCTTATCATCTACATTTTGAAAAAACTAATTTTAATACAATTTTTTAAGTACCTGTCCGTATCTCCGTATACGACTTTTGCATTCCATTTTGTCGTTGTTTCAATAAGTTTAATTGCTTGTTCTAAAGTTTCCCTGGCTTTTCCTACAATACTGTCAGCAATCTAGTAATTACAAAGTCAATTTATTAAATAATTTAACACTTCAAATATTTTCTATACCCAATATAAAATATTATTAGAATAAAAATTTAAGATTTCTCACCTCGACACAAGGCATGCGCCCTGAAAAATTAGCACTGGTGTAACCATAGGTAACATTTGCAATAAGTTTTAAACCTAGTTGTCTGGCATCCAATAGTTTATATAAAGGCTGAAAATTATTTCAATTATTTACAAATTAAATTATTATTTTTTTACATCAAGTTATTAATTATAGAAATAACACTTGTTAAAATCACTTTATTTTATTAAATTTGTAAATTAAATATCATACTCAGCTCTTTAAAACACTTAATCAGATGTTTGATGATTCATTAATTATTGAATTTAATATAATTTCTTTTATAATTCTAGAATGTAATTTATAATTTAAAATAAAAACAATTTAATTAGAAACAAATAAATTTAACATGCCTTAATTTCTTTATATTCTTTCATTGCATTCTTAATCATAATTCTAGTATTCAGAATATCTTCCAACATTCTTGGAAAAAAATAGTAGTATAATTTTAATATAATATAAAAGATTTATATTAAATTTAAAAATAGATTTCATTATGTAAATAAGTTTTCATTAACATCTACATATTATATATATATATATTTATGTTATAGTCAGTAGCATGTTATCCTATGGGCAAAAAGAGCAATTACCTAGGGCCTTCAAACCCATCTTTAATAAACACACTATTGTATTTGTTGTAGGAAGAATATCAAGATTTAAATTTTGTGCCATATCAGAGGGCCTTAGATTGCCAGTTTGGCACATAACTCCAGAGGTTGCGTTAAAAAATTCTGGGGAATTCCCTGCAAAAACTTTCCCCAAAGAAAATAGTTTTAAGTCAACGCTATATGCGAGGTTCCTTAATTCAAATTTGCCTGTGTTCCACAAACATATTATATTATATATATTACACATACATATATGTTAAGTCATTAACATCAAAAATATTAAAACTAAACTCCTCAATTTATTATCTTAAGCAAAACATTTAATATTTCTGAGAACAAATTCTTACCCTCTGATCTGAAACACTTGGAAAGAAATCATTCATATGCAATTGATGTTAACAAAAATTCTATGACTCCTTTGCTATTTGAACTTCATCTTTAATTCAATATATAATATAATATAGAGGTCCATAAAAGAGAAATACTTAAAATGCAGAGGCGACGTAAGGCGTGGGCAACTGCCTATGGCCTCTCTGTCTGAGGGGCCTTGTGCATTACATAAAAGCCATAAACACAACGAAAAAATTTTACTCGTCATAAAACGATAAATATATTGACATACCAAATTTGTTTTTATTTGTCTAGCAACATTTGCTGAAGTTGGGTTGCTATCGCAGGGAATCCTTACCAGCCAGAGCTGGGGATTTCCCATTGTGTTTGTTTACGTTACTTTCATGACTCTCAACAGCTAGAAAGCCAATCAAAGTATTGCAGTAAAGTATCCCGTAAATAGTGGAGTTAAAACTTGAATATTAAATATTAATCCCAGGGCATTTTTTACACTTTGCAGTTGTCATAGCTGGAATCTGCTGTTGGTAGATGCAGCTAATTCTTCTGTGGCAGCAAAAACATTTTTTGGTTTTATTCAGAAAATTTATTTGCTATTTTCAAGTTCCAGCAAACACTGGGAATTAATCAAAGGCAAATTAAAGCTTACTATAAAGCTTTTATCAGACACAAGGCGAGAAAGCAGAATCGAGGCAGTGAAGGTCGTATTATTGCAATTTGATGTTGAATGCATTAAAAGCTTAAAAAATCAAACGGAACAATCAGACACACTCAGTGATTGTGATTCGGTTTTAAACAAAATGCTCAGTTTAGAATTTTTCATATCATTACATGTATGGTATGAGATATTATCACGTGTTAATATCGTAAGCAAATTATGGCAATCTTTACAAGTCCATTTAAGCAATGCTCTTGAACATTTGCGTACATTTTGTGACTGGATCAAAGAATATCAACAAACTGGATTCGAAAAATGCTTGTCTGACACTCGTCAATTTATTGAGAATAGCAGTTATGAACTACCAAAAGACTTTAAAAACAAAAGGGTAGCCAAAAAGAAAAGGATGTTTGATGATGAAGGCAGCAATCAACCTATACAGTCTCCCAAAAGCAGGTATAAAACAGATTTTTTTAACACCACGATTGATTCTATAATAAGCAATATGGATTTGGGATTTATGTCTTTAAATCAACATTTTGAAAATTTTGGTTTTCTCTATGGTTTCCTAAATTTAGGTTTTCATAGAGAAAACCTAAGCAAGTTAAAAAATATTCCAAAAGAGCAAATATTAAAAAACTGTCAAGGTTTACACTCAGTCCTGCAAATGAGTGAGAGCAGTCACTTACAACTTTACGAATTATATGAAGAATTACAAACAATGATCCCAAATTTACCCAACTTCATTAAAGATGTGAAATAGCTGCTCCAATACATAACAGAAAATAACTTGAAAGAAATTTACCCAAATATTTACATTGCCGTTCGAATTTTGTTAACAATACCGGTAAGTACTGCCTACGCTGAAAGGAGCTTTTCAAAATTAAAAGTAATAACAAATTATTTAAGAAATACAATGGGTCAGGAAAGACTTTCAGCTTTCGCAGTTTTATCTATTGAAGCATATATAGCATATAAGCTGAATTACGATACAATTATTAAGGAGTTCAGTAAGGCTAAAAGCAGGAAATTTGTTTCTTTAATTTTTTTTAATGTTAGTTAAAGAATATAGTTTGCATTTTTAGGAATAAAAATTTGACAGTTTCAACTGCTTTTTTATTTTATAAAATCAGTCTTCTTGTGCCACCAGAGGGCCTCGCAAAATGTACCTTGCCCACATCAAATTTAGGTCTTGCCCCACCACTGTTAAAATGCTAAGGCATTAAGAATGCCAATAATATTTGCATTTTAAATTGAACTTTGTTAAATGATTTTGGATAAATTTGTATGTTTTGGATCCGATGATAAATGTTTTTAAAAATAAATCACGTCTTTTTGTGTAAGTGAATTGTTTCAATATTTTGTTATTAAGATGAATTCAACAAAAATTATTAATAAATATTTTTGTATTAATATTTTTGTACTTTGAAATTAATTAAAATAATTAAATTTTATTGTTCTGTTAATATTGATGATCCCATCTAAAGAGAAGATTTAATTTGTTAAATGGTAGAAGTTGAGATTGATTATTGTTTTCTGTAATAGTGGCATATAGGAAGTTTCTATTCATATTTAAAATTCTTCAATATAGAAGTGATCTATAAAGTATTAATTAATGCTATATACAATACTACTTTCAAAACTAAAATATGATTTTTCTGATTAAATAAATTATATAAATATCTATTGTCATTATAATTAAAAAAAAAAAGTTTTTATATACAAAAAATTTTCTCTAAAATCATTACATAATGTACATAATGTAATTTCACAAAGAAATAATCAAATCTTTGTAGAAAAATATTCATAAAAAAAGGATTCAAAATGCCCACAATTGGGCAGCTAGGTGGCGAGAGAAAAAGCCCAATATAGCCATGACAGATTGCCCATTAAAAAAAAAATTCCCGGAGTTTTGCCTGCTTGGATTGGATCTCAGGTTTAATTCCTTGACAATAAAAGAACAATCTTAACAAAGAAAAACAACAATAGACAGTAGCTTTCACTGCCAAGAAGCTGACCTAAGTTCACTATTACAATTATTAATTACAATTTAGAATTTAATTGCTGTTACATCAAAAACTTCCACTTCACTCAGGTTATGTTGTTGGTACCCAAAGTATCATATTTCCATGTTAGGCAGATTTCCAGCTAATAATAGTATTTTACATGGCAAATCATTTCATTTTAAGATTTATTTTCTGTTTAGGCAAGAACTGTCTTATAGAGAATCATTTTAAAGATTTCAACCATATCAAAATGAATAAAAGTTTAAACTAATAAACTTACTTAGGAAGAATGCCAAGACGTATGTGATGTTTTACAAATGCCACCCCGTTTGGTGATATTAAAATATCATTTTCTAATTTCTGAAATTGGATATAAAATTATTATTATGCATTAGATTAGTTTTAGCTTTTATACAAAAATAGCACAATGTGATTCTTACCTTGAGCAACAATGGAGGGACGTTTAATGACGTGCATCCAAATTCAAATGGAATGTTACTGAAAATGTTTTAAGTTGTTGATATGTTGATGATTAATAAATTCAAAAATTAACCAATTTTATTCTTAGAATTTTTAAGTAGATATAATGAAAATAGTTTTTTAAAACAATTCATAATTAACTTACTTTCCGAGATGTTCTACACGTCCGAGACATGTAGAGTAACAATAATTATAGGCTATAATCATCGAGGGATAGAGAGACTGAAAGTCTAAAACCACAACGGGACTAGTATAGAACTTAGATTCAGGTTCCATGACTAATGCAAACCTCTCGGGTGCTTTAGAATGTGCCCGCTGTTGTATGCTGGGCGAAACGGCGATATAATTCTGCGACTTTGCAGTTCTCAACATCATAGATTCGACTCTGAACTAAAATTTCAAAACAGAAAAGGAAAGTAAAACAGATTATTGCAATTCAGATAAGATAATATTTTTAATATTATATCTAAATGTAAGTACAGTTTATAACTAAATTTTTGTGTTCTCTCTTTCCAAAATCTGTATGCTCCATAATTAAAATGCATTACTTCAAATCATAAATATTTATTTTTGTTCATAAGATTATAAATAAAAATAATAACATTTAAAAGTTAGGTGTTTTCAGTTAAAATACAAATAGTTACTTTATAGTAGTTCTCAATGTATAGTCCACAAACACTGGTGGTCTACAGACTGAACATTATAGTAACTGTTACATGAATGATTTGTGTTATTGGCTTGTATAATGAATTACCATGTACTCAAACAGCAATTCAATGCATAGTTATATCAACAGTTTCTGTTTGCTTCTCGAGAATTAGAGATGTACTGTATTAACATTTAGATCATATTTACAAGCTTTTATTTGATTTTAGAATAATTTAGCAATACGTATTTGAGGAAAAAAAATAGAATTTAATGATATAATTTTAATAAAAATATCTTATAAAAAATCAAAACAATTCCATTTTATTGAAGTCATTTTGACTCTAATATCTGTTTATACATATCTTCTAATATTTGACTATTTCTGTTATCTTACTTTTTTTATACCTTCACAATACAGAATGTTTATCTTGAAACATCAAAAACTAAATTATAAAATCTATAAAGAGTGCAAAGACGTGCACAGACTGATATTCTTGTTGCACAATGATGAGTGATTCTGACTTTATGGACTGCAAAATACAAAATGCCATCTCTGCTGCAGACTTGTCACTTTTGTTTACAATGCTTCCTAGAGGCAGCAGACAGAAAGACATTTGAATGCAGATGGTAGACAAAGCACAGACCGTTACTCTATTGATCGATGTAAGTTGCATACTTCTCAGATAATAACTAACATAATTACAGTAATTTAAGATGATAGTGTTCTTTTTCTGGAACTGTACACCGAAACATAGTTTAACAGTTAGGCAAGTAAGCAAAATTTATATTTTATAAAAATAAATTGAAAGGATTTTTAATTAAAAAAGTTACCTCTAAAAATTTGAAAATCGAAAAATACTGGCATATTATAATTTTAAAAATTTTAACATTTACAATGGATAATAATTTCAGAAACAAATATTAAGAATACAATTATAAAACATGCCAAATTTAAATTTTACCTGTGATCCTCGACTCAAAACTTCATAAAACTGTATACCGAACACTCGAGCTAAAGTACTGGTACGTCCAATTACGTCTAACTGATTTAGTAAATTCATGGTATACTTAACTCTGGTGACATAATAATCTATAACGCGCCACCTAAAATAGAAAAGAAATTTATTTTATATTAATTGCACAATGAATATGTAATGAACATAATTTTAAAATATTTTAAAAATTTTTACCTGAAGAGATCGGTTTGATAATCAAACCAATGAGTGAGAGAACGAAAAGAATACTGAGGAATTCTCAAATGAAGAACATGATAAACAACATTTTCAAATGTATAGATATTTAAATTTACCTAGGGAAAAAAAATCACTTTTTTTTATTAATAGTTTATTGCATAATTCATTTATATACTGTATATTAATTAAATACAGTGGGTGATCGGATAACGAACACTTTCGTGAAAGATTTTTATGTTCAGACAATGAACACATTTGGATAATGAACACCTCACAGAACAAACACAAGAAGAAGAGATGTAAAATAATGAATACCGATTGATCTTCCCTTGTCTTCGGGCAACAATTCAAAATTTTTCAGAGTGTGGGATACATCAACATTGACACTCAACCTGGTATATACTGATTGGATAGTATTCCTCCAAACTTTGAAACTCTCTCTTATAATTCCTGCCTTTTATTTTTCTGACAGAAACAACTCTTTTGTAGTATTCGCAAGACTATTGGGTGGGCAATCATTAAGTTTTGCGTCGGTGTTTATTTTTGAAAGGTGAGAGTATAATAGCAAAGGTAGAGAGTGGGAAGATGTCTGATGTTGCTGGGCAGTATGACTTGAACAGGTCTACAGTAGGCCACCATTCAATCTTATCTAAGAAAGATACACATAATCAAGAAGACTCAAGCAGATTAAGGAGTAACAAAAATCACATCTGAGAAATAAAGAACATTGAAAAGCTCATAATGGAACCTGAAACTGATCTGATGACAGAAGAACGCCAAGAAACTCGGCGAAATATGTTTTCTTCTGAAAAACAGGATTAATGTCAATATCTGCTCTTAAACATCTTTTGAAGAAGTGGGACTATGATCTTAGAATGGCATCCAAACCAGGTTGAGGTAAATAGGCTTGGGATCTCTACAATTACAATGCTATTAATTACTTCTGAAAAATCCTGAAGAAGAGAGAAAAGCAATCGACATTAAACAGATTCTTTAACCCCCACAAACGGAAAAAACATCACTAATAAAAATGCAAGACTGTATATATGTATTTTTATTATTACATATAAATAAATGTATTAAGAAAGTATATATTTTTTATTTTTTGGAGTCTCTAGAATGAATTAATCAAATTCCCATAAAAACCTATGGTAAATCGATAATTGGTTAATGAACAATTCAGATAGCAAACAAAGTCTTGGAACGAATTATGTTTGTTAACTGATCACCCACTGTACTAATAAATAAGTAATTAATAATATATACATTGTAATGTGTAAACAAACAAAAAAAACCAGAATATTAAAAATAATTTTTGCAATTTTTGGATAACTAAACTAATGTTTTTGACTGCCTTAATCAGTCATCTTTGGTTTTAAATACATTTGACAGGAGAATGTAAATTAAAATAAAAATGTTTCAAAAGATGTAACATTATTGGTTGCAACCATGCATGTAACAAAAGATGTATACGTATCGAAGCAAATTAACCAATGTCGATGTAAAGTTGGTAAGGTGTGACGTTCATTAGTGTCTTGCCTTGATTACTATTATATTTGATTTAATGATTTTTTTTCATATTTGATTTTTTACATATAATAAGTGTAAATCTAATTAATTCATTGATAATTTTCAAATGAATCTGTAGCTTTACTAACTTTATTTTATTTTTAAGAATGCTGATATTGAGTGTACAATTTTACCTTTTGCCTTCAAAACACTCCTAGCTTTGCAGTCAGTGTTAAAGAATTTGGAAAAATTGGCAAAAAATAAACAACAAATTGGTGTACAATAACTGTAGTGCATAGCACAGCAAATTTTACATAAATAATGCAATTCCTTATGCTATTTCTTCCTAGTTGTTTTTATTTTGGAGCTGTAATCTAAAACTTAGGCTACAGGCCATGGCCTGTAAACAAAGGTGTCTTATTCGCAAACAATGGATGCACAGCCATGGATTTAGGGTAAAATAAAGCAATTTGAACATTTTTATTTGTTCAAATTCTTTTAGAAAACAGATTTTTTAGAATATTCGTCAGTTTTCTACTTTGTATGTAAACTAAAGTTATGTTCCATGCTTTTGTAAACTGTTTAAGAATGCTGGTAAATCCCAAATTCAATGTAATATATTATTATTTCAAATCAATCTTAGTCCCTGTAGTAACAATATTAGTGTCACTTGATTTACTGTAATAAATACTTAGCATAAGTTTCAACACACGTTCATTTTTAGTATACAATCTTATAATAAGATACCCATGATTAATGGAAAATATAATAAGTATATGGTACCTGTTTAATAGGAAAATTAAAATATGAAATACCAAAATTAAATATTAAATGTGATTGTTTACCTCTTTTCTCATTATTTTCCATACATTGAGTACGACTCTTCCTATAATTTTGAATTCGGATATAGGTTCTACGACTGGGTCGTCTTTCTGGGATAGGACATTATCACACTCATAATCAGGTTTTGCTCCAGGAATTCGAGAAAGAAATTTGTACATATTCATATTTAAGTATGCCGCTCTCTGAATGAGGTAACCCCATGATAACATTTGAATTTCGTAGCCACATATTATGTCGGGATCCCATCTGAAAATAAAATTACACTTTATATGATCAATTGAAAGTAATAAATGAAATAAAATATAAAATTAATTTATGTTTCTCTTACTTTCTCACTATTTCAATAAATTCTTTAAATAAGCAAATCTCATCCACAACGTAAACAGTATTATGACTGAAAATTCCAGACCTTTCCAATAAATTTCTTTTATTGTTGGAATATTGTTTTTTAAAATTATTGCAGACAAGTGGCGATTCTACATCTACTTCTGAAGACTGTTTATTTCCGACAATTATCATCCCTATTACTTCTCTTGGGACGCTGCAGTCTTCAGGGAAATCATTATTTATACAATAAAAGAGAGCTTTGATACAATCGTGTTGTGGATCCGGTCGAAGATCTTCCCTTGTTTCCATGTGTATCTCCATACTCATGGTTGTAAGAAACTGGTGCTAAATATATAAATTCATTATTTAACTTTGTATCAATAATATGGGGTTTTCCAAAACCAATGTTACCATTTCAAGTTATTGCAATTATGTTGATTATTATCTTAGAAGTATGTGATGTATACCAATCAATAGAATAACCATCCTAGTTTTTTCTTCCATTTGGATTTGAACATTCTGTTGTCCACTAATTCTAGGAAGAGTCAAACAAAAATGTTGACACTGAAACAGAGAAAACATTCTGTGTTCTGCAGTTCACAAAATCAAAATCACTCATCATTGTGCAATGTGAGTAACCTGTAAGAGCTGTAGAATTTTGATTGTAATGGGAAGAGTGACAACGGATATGACATAGTGAGTATAGGAAGAGTTTCAGTATTGGTTAGATGCACATGCCATGCAACATAAAATGTACTTATTATAAAATTTTAACGGGCAAATGTGAAACTTGGATGGATTTCCAACATTTTAATGTACATTATGATGTTCTCATATAATAATTAACATAATTACAATAATTTAAAAAAGTAACATTCTTTATAGAAAAACCTGTATTTGATATAGTGAGTAATCAAATGAAAAGTTTATTTGCAAGGAATAAACTTAGCAATGTTGCAAGATGACGTGTAAGTATTCTACTAAGTATCACTAGAAATATTTATTTAAATTTTGATTATTATTTATTACAAACTTAAGGGATAACATTTAAAACACCTTGCCACATCACTCTATCTCTTTACAAGTAAGTTTTTCATTTTCTATCCTGTACATATGTAAATATTTGGTAACCAAACATCTTACCTGGTTATTTACATTAGTTTCTTGAATATTTCCAAAATTAACTTTAAAATTATTTGACAGTGTAGGTCCTTCTATATCAGAATTTAAACTGTAACTGCTAAGTATTTTATTCTAAAATAATAATAAAACAATTAGTAATTTGTAAAATCAAATTATTAATTTTAATATAAACACATTTACCTTTATCTGATTATGAAAATTTTTATTTTTATCTAGCTTTGGTTGCAAAGAATGTTCACTTAATAATTCAGCTTTATCTAATTCACATTTACTAAATTCTATGGATAATTTTCGTTTTTTATTAAAAACTTTTTCTTTTTCCCTGCTTGTAGTTAAGGAACATATCGGTGATATTGTAGGAAAAACATCACTTAATTTAATATCTAGCATATTATCCAACAGAAAATCTTCTGATAATCTCCGTCGTTTAGATGACAACTTACTGTTTTTGCTTGTTTCGTCTCCATTCCATGAATTACTCCGTTTTCTCTTTCTACATTTCTGTCCATCGAGCTTTGGTGTACTGCGGTAAAAAGAAACTTCTTTCTGAGAGTTTTCTTCAAAAGAATGAGCCACTTGCATGTCTTCTGCAACAATCTGATCATCATCTGTTTTTTCTTCACTCTGGATAGCTACTTTAGAAGCAAGTTCATGCAAAGTTAACCATTTCTTGACATCTCTTTTAATAGGTGGCAAATGAGCAGGTGTCAGTACTGTGGACTTATTATTAGAAAGAATAACTTTTAATTTCGGATTTTGCTTTATTGCTTTATAAACAGAAAAACTTGAATCAGGAGATGATTTGATATTAGAGCTTCTTTCAAGAATATAATTTTGCCACCTCTCTAAACCATCTGTCTGAAATTTACCATCAAATTCTGATAATTCTGATAATTTTGTAGTTGGTATTTTTAATGCCGTGTCGGCAACTTCCATAACTTTATTTGTATCGTCTAAAGGATTACTGTAGTATGCAATCTGATATTTTTTTTCTGGTAAATTATAGCAAGATAATGTCTCTTTAACATCTTTATAAGTAGGTGGTAACTGTAAGGGAGTTATGACTCCTATACATTCATTAAGTTTTTGATTTTCATTTGTTGCGTTAATGGTATCATCATAAAAACTTAAAACTGTTGAATTTTCACAATTTTGAAATGGTTCAGATCCTTTGGACTCGACTAAATCATTTGAAGGATCGCATTTATTTTCAGAAACTAATAATTTTGCTTCGTTTAAAGATTCAGCTTTCTTGCTAATTGATTCAGAATTACTCGATCCAGATTTTTCAATATCTGTATTTGATAGGGCTGTTTTGGTATCTGTGCTATTAATTTTAATTACAGTCTTGTGAAATCCTTGACTACTGGCTTGCTCTTGATCTTGAAGACATTGAATTCTCGATTCAGAAGCCATTTCTGCTCCTATATTGCTAACAATAACTGAAGTCTCACATAATTCTTGATCATTTTCTTCAACTTGTATAGTAATACTTTCATTATGGTTTTGTTTTTCTTCATGAAGAGATGAAGAACATTCACCAATTTCTTCAGTTTTCTCTGGATCTAAGATTTTTAACGTCACATCTGTTTTAATGCAATCTGATATTATTTCTTCACCTTTAATATCGAATGGCTGTATTGTGTTTTCACAATATTTACATTGATAAATTTTTACAGATGCATCATCATTTTTGGCAGTTCCATAACACATTCTGCAGGTTAATTTTTCATTATTAAGCTGAATAACAGAACCTTGTGCTTCGGTTTGGAAATCGGACACTTTTAGTAATTCTGTTGCCGATAAATTACTTTTATTGGAATAAAATTTGTCATTGGTCTCGGTTGGAAAAACAAAAGAAACTTCTTTAAATGGTCCGACAAGTAAAGCATTTTTAGTCTTCTGAGTTTCTAACATATTGTTGTGAATTAAACAAGCTTGGTTACATAATTGCGTACATATATCTTTAAGAGATTCATCATCTTTAGCTACACTTTCTTCATTAGATATTGGTTCTGCGCTTGCTGATTCTGTATAATCTTCAATCACAGATGATGATGGTGAAACATTTTTATTTACATTTTCATTTGAAATTCTCTCTTCTTCGTGACTAGAACCAGACAAAACTTCTTGACTTTCATTAGAAATTTGTAAATTTTCCTCACTTTCATGAACTGATTTAGATAATTTATTCTTCATTAACATATAACTACTCAAAATGCTAGCACTGTGAAGATTTACTGCTTTGGGAAAATCCTGGTTTTCACTTTCATTTAAGTTGTGATCACCCAAACATATTGAATATTGTGAATTAAATGTATTTGCCGATACAATATTTCCCTCAGAATCATATATCATTTTTTCTTCAGGACTAAGAGGGGATAAATCAAGATCGTTACTAGATGAGGGCATCATATTTACTGGTAAACAATCCTTTTGTAAGGAGCAAGCATTGTTTACAAACTGCACATTATCTAATGTTGTGTTTAGATCAAAACTTTCAGATTTCTGAGTCTCTGGAATAATTGAATCACTAATATTTTCACTACTTATGTAAGACGACAAGTGGCCTTCTGCTTTAGAGTATTCTTCTAACGTATCGTCAAAATTGATGTCGGTAGAAGCACTTTTCACCTCTGAAATCACTAAACACATTTCTGGTTCACTAATTTTGTCGTTATCACTATCGACAATTGATTCTTTAAAACTATCGTATTCTTCATCACTCTGTGACTTTTTAGAAGGCTCATTGTTTTCATTATTGCTTAAATTAGTTGAACTATCACCATGTTTACTTTGAGCTAAGATATTACTATCATTACTACTTTCACTCAGATTTAATTGTAAGCAATCATTCAAGTTACTTTCGGCAGAAGATTGTTTTTGTTGCAACATTTCTAGTTCATCCGTCACACTAAAACTAGAATTGTGAATTTCTGTTTGTTTATTTTCGCTTCTAGAACAATTTTTCTGAGTTAAAAATATACTTTCTTCATCATCGTCCATAGAAAATATCTCATTTGATGATGATATTTCATTTTCTGCATCCGATCCAACGGACATATTTTCTTTATCAAGTTTATCGTCATGTAGTTTATCATTAAAAGAATTATCTATTGGATCATGTGGCTGTTCTTCATTTATGGATTCTGACTGTTCATCACTTACATTTTCCTTTGAAATTATAGAAATTTCTTCATTATAATTTTCATTTGTGCTGATATTTTGTAAATTTTCAACTTTATTTGCATCTTGTGTATCATCAATTTCTAATTTATCCTCAAATTCTACATTAATTTCTAGTTTATCTTCTACATTTTCATCTTTCAGTTTATCTTCTTCATTTTTATTTTTCACTTTGACTGAAAGATCACTTAATTCTTTTGATGACTCACTTTCAGAAGTATCATCCTTATGCTCGTATACCTCTTTCGTGAAAATAGTGCTTTCTTCTACAGAACTCAAAACAGTCTCAATATCAGATTTATTCATATCTATGTTATCAATGTCTTGTGAATTTAACAGACACGAATCCTTTCTTGACAAAGAATTCTTAAGATTTACACTACTAGTTTCATTTTTATCATCAATTTCTAAAGTCACACCTTCATTTATAATTTCCTTATTATTATTATCTGTTTCAATATCTATTTTTAAATTTTCATTTATGCAATTAGCAATGGAATCATTTTCTAATTGTCTCTCTGGCTCATTCTGATCATTGTCACCATCACTAATTTTTTCTGATAACACGCTAGAGTCTTCATACACTGAAACAATGCCATTTATCACAGGTTTTTCAACTGAATCATTAAAAGAACTCAGATTTATATCTGAATCGGAGTGGTCTTTAGAAGAAACAGAACTCAAGAAATTGCTGGTATTTCCTGATTCTTCTGCTATCGATATCATGCCTTCTTTGCTTTCTTCGGATTCATTTTGGGATAAACTCTTTGATGCTTTATTTTTCAATGTATGGGTATCTTTAGTTTTAACGCTTTTGTTATTTATTTTATTGTTATTTGGAGACCAACACTGTGGAGGCGAGGACTTTCTTTGCACATTTGTCATCGGTGAGAGATACGAAAGATTCCACATGACGTCTGAATATTCGTCACTATAATCGTTATTTCCTGTATTATAATTCTCAGGCGACGAATTATTTGTTGCATCAACTGAAATGGGATACATGTTAACATACTGGTAAGATTTACTGTTTAACATTTGGTCTGAAGAATTGTTATTGGATTTAAGCGTCTCAAGAAGTTTCGATAAATTTTCTTTATCGAGACGAAGATTCATTTTATTCAAATTCTCCGGTCTCAATCTTTCTAAACGCACTTCTACCTTTTTGCACTGTTTTATCAAATCAGCCGTCTTCAGTTTTTTACTTGGCATAAATATTCTTCTCCTGTCTCCTGGTAACTCTACAAATTTATCAAATTCTAAAAGATGACTGTATGCATGAGCATGATAATTCACGTTCTGGCGTTTTGATCGAGACGTTGCAAGAGCAGAAGAATTGTCAACTTCATCATTAGTTAAATTCAATATTTTATGACTGACAGAAGGTTGAAAAGCCTTAAAATAATTTTTTCTTTTCCTTTTTCTTATTCTAGTTTGTTTAATTGGGCACAAATTTGGTAACTTAATTGTCAATTTCAATGGCAGTTTCTTTTTATCTATAGTTCTGGGTAAATGATTCATTTCTTGATTATCGTTTTGAGGATTTAAGACGTTTTTTAAGTCTGATGACTGAAATAAACAGCTCTCTTTTGTCTGATTTGTGGCAGGATTTGGCAATAAAGATTTTGAATTCTTCAGTTCTTTAGTCAATGTCTTAATCCTCGACATTTTAAACCTCATCTTTAAAGCTGATAAACTTTGTTTAGTAACTTTTAAAACATTGCTGCAATAATTATTTTTAACAGCAACACAATTCTTGTCTATATAATTCTTTCCTAATCGTTTCAGTACTAGTTTTTCTTTGCCAATTTTCACTAAATCTTTTTTGTCAATATAAGATGGCAAAATGAGATTGTTAAGATTGACTGGTGTTACCGATATATTTGGTTTGACCAAATTTTTTTCTACATTATTTTTACATTCTGTTTTTTTGCTTGATATGTTTGAGATATTCATTTTTAAATTTAATTCAGGTGCTGGTCTATGAATAAGAGGATAATAAGGTATATTGATTTTCTCTTTTGTTAATGGTACTTTCTTTGTTTTTGCTGTTTCTTCTTGCAAAACTTTTGTTTCCACAGTACTTGTTTGTTGTTGAGCTTGCCTTCTAGATAACTGTAAACGTTTCATATTTTGGACAACTAAAGTTCTTGGATTCGATTTCTTCTCGTTTTCTGTCTTTTTTTCTTCGTTTGCTGTGGTGTTAACTAATCCATAATTTGTTTGTGTTGACATATTGCACACTTCTTTACTTTTTGGCTTTGCAGTTATAAATTTATGTGGATAAATCTGAATTCCTACCTTATTTATATTTGTTTTCAGAGTATCAAAAAGATCCGAAGTTTGATTCTTTGAACAATCGCTACTTTTCCCAAAAACTAAGTCCTTTGAGAAAATCTTTAAGTTTGCAGTAGTATCAATAGTAGAGAACTTCATACCTCCTTCCACTTTATATGAAGGCGAAACTGTTTTTTCGAATTCTTTATAATTAGATGTAGATGGAGTAGTGTGAGAATAACTTAGATTATTTCTGTAAACTTCATTTTTATCGGCACTGCAAGCATTTTCCGGTATCATCGGCGTAATTCTGTAAGTCGACACAAAAGGCATGCAATTGCTTTCCGTCGACGACTGATACGTTATAGATGGATTACAATAACTGGTGTTAGGATTAGAATACCAGTTTATATTGTTCGACAAATTTTGAGAACACATCAAAAGTCCAGTCTGATTAGCTGATTTACTATAATTGGTATAATGACTATTATTTGCAGCACAGTAGGTTGCTTGATTAAACGGAGTATATATACCATTATGACAATCGTACTTTTTATGAAGTGTCGATGAAGACGATTTTTGCATCCAAGATCCTTCCATATTTGAATTAATATAACATGATGAAGCAGAATTGCATGCCATCTGTCTTCCTGGATACTTGTTGCTTTTCTTTTCATCTAAAATATAATAATTGTTTATTATTTTTTCTAGATGATGATAGTTTTTATATCATAATTCAATTATTAACAAATATAAAAAATAATTTTGTAATTTATAATGTGAAAATTCAATTGATATAAAAATTTATCTTCTTTTTAACACAACGAAGTTCTAACTAAGGACACCAGTCTGGTACCTTCAGTTAACACTTTACAATGTTCAAAAAACATAAGGATGAAAGGTATGGTTCCAAACAGCAAATAAACATTTATTTTATCCATAAATAGTTTTATAATACAAAGAAAATTAGCTGAATGGCTACTCAAGGCACACTGGGGACCTGCAATGAATCTAAAAACACCAGAAATTTTTGAGGAGTATGGATATGTCAGTCCCACTGGATATATCAGTCCCCATCCCTCACCACTCGGTTGCCCCATTGAGCCTGGCCGAACCCATAACAAGCTTACCAAAAAGGCTCTCTTAGTGCCAACAGGGCAAAAAGAATTAAAAAAAGGAATAGTCATTAAAATTCTTATCTTTTCAATTAACTCAAACTGTATGAAAATTTATGTTTACCGGTATCATAATTCTAAGAGAAGAAGTAATGCAGAAATATATAAATGTATACTTTGAAGAATATATATAATATAATTATTAATTTCAATATGAGATAGCACCTGATGTCTACCTTTAACACCAAATTACTTAATATCTAATTATTAATAACATCAGAAAAATAACCCAATTAATTATGGCGATCGTTTAGTTTAATATATCCTTCAATGTATATCAGATAATAAATACAAACAATATAAAACATAAAAGAGTTATAAAATTATTAATCATACCATCATTATTTTGACATAACGTGTCATGAGTTCCGTCGATTTGAGGAATGATAAAATCATCGAGAGAATCGCTAGAAAATTTTTTGGCACTGTAAGCCGAATGATTTTCTTGCTGAATAATTAGAGAATCTGAAGAAAATTTATCCAGTACAGCTTTGTGATCGATTTCCTTACTGAAATTATATCCTCGTTTGATCAGTTTCGAATCAAGGCAGACATTTTCATCCCATATACACTGAGACATTTCTAAAGTTTCCAAATCGTCGTCTTTATTACATTCTTGCTCGTTATCTTTAATCAGCTCTTGAGTGCTTAATATGCTATCTGCATCTTCCGGGGAATTAATAGTCTGATTGTCGATCATACTGATTATCATATCCAAAAATTTCGTATCTTCTTCATTTACTGAATGAGGGGGGGGGAAAAATGAATATACTTCACAATAGAAAAAATTTTATACTTAAAATCATAACTACTCATTAAAATCTTATATTTATATATAATATAAAAATAATCTATTATAGTTTACACATTAAAGATGGGAAATTATTTATAGTGACATCATAACAATGCTGGGCTGCAATTTTTAATCACATTCTTAATTTATTTAATTTAAATTATGTGTTCTCCATCTCAAATCAATACTGTCTTGCCTTTGTACATCATACTTTGATAACAACAGACTTGTGCCAGTCATTTATCTAACACCATTCAGGGCAAATTTCTGAATTGAATTCACATAATTCCAGTCTAGACTGGAAATTCCCATTAATTGAGGGCCTCCTGCCCCAAAACCTTCCACACTTGGTCTTGATTTTCATCTACCTAACACCATTCTTGAAATTAAGGACAGATAGCAGACAGATAACAATGGGAATTTATAGGTCTGTAATTTTTTCAAATTGCAGCCCAAAAACCAAAATTTATATTATATCCAAATTACATTTTTTCCTACATTCAAATCAATTATAAATTTCTTATTTTATACATTAATGCACAAAAATAACAAGTAATCCTCATTGAAAATGCTGGTCACATCATTGTAGTTAAACAGTACAGAACTAGCTAATATTCTAGAAAGAAATGGCAAGAAAGACAGGGTGACCCTAACCAGAGTACAATAATTCTGGTTAGTCTCAAACAGGTGTGCCCATACATTGGGACCCATGCCACTCTTTCATCTGTGCTGTTCTTTTCCTAATCCCCAAAAGGGCCCCAAATTCCATTAACAAACAATACAAAATTCATGTCTTCTAGCTTATTCTACAAATATAAAACAAACAATATTTGTCCACTTCCCACGCAACTTCATCATACATTGACCAAAAAGTGGCCTTGAAAACAATAACTGTTCCTCGCTTTCAAGACCAATTTATCCTGACTGCAACTGGTGCTGCACTGTAGAGTGCCGATCAGATGTTGAATCATAGTTTAAAGCTTCTTGCATATTGTATGACTTTTATAATCTGCAAGTGCAACTGGTCTCAAGTCCATACAAAAGAGAAGCAATCAGGATCAGAGCATTTGGCCACAGAACTAATTGTCCCCCACACAAGGAACAAGGATGCAGTGACTCATTGTGTCATGAATGGAGTGAAAAAGACAATGACTTTATATATCAAAGAACAATTTAATATACAAACATTTAGTGATCAATTTCATTAAATTTATACTATTGCTATTACGTATCTAGTGAAATTATAAAAAAAATTGTTTTAAATTGAGAAAATAAGTAATTTAATAGAACTTATTACACTGGTGTAATTGATCAAATGCAAAAAGGTAGAAGTAATCAAAATTAAAGCTGTATTTCTTTATTTTATTCTTTTTCCATTTTATTCAAAAACATCTGTATGTTTTGGACTGTTGATCCCTCTTTGGTGGATTTACAATGATCTAAAATATTATACAGCATATTTACAATATATTTAAACTTTAAAACTTATAAAGTAAGTTCTAAAGTTTTAAACGTAGATTTATCCATCACACCAGTAAGACCTATTAAATACTATAGTCTAATAACTAGTAGACTATGATAATTTAAAATAATTTTAAGGACATAGAGACATAATTGATTAAAAATTAGAACTTACAGGAATCTTGTGTAAAGTTTTTATCACTGTCCTGAGAATTTAATTCTTCCTCTTTGTTTGTTTCAGCTGTTTCTTTTTGTTCTATAAAATATTTAAGCATAAATAATTATTAACTATATCATTTTTAAATTATTTAAATTTATGGTTTATTTATATCAGGGATGGCCAACACGTAGACCGCAGTCGACCGGTTGACTGCAAAGGTTTTGAAAGTAGCCCGCGAAGCTAAAGTTGAACAATTTGCTTTCACTTAAATTAACGTTTAAAAATCTTAATTCAATCATTTATTCTTATAATAATAGACTGTCTGTGAAACGTACCCATACTGTTTGTATTTATCCCGATGAACAATGCAAATGAATGTTAATGCATGCACATATAAAAATCCTAAAATTGTTTGCCCATATTCATAGTCGCCCGCAGATTATATTTTACCAAAAAAGTAGCCCCTAAGGGATAAAAGTTTGGCCACACCTGATTTATATAATTCTAATAAAATACAACAAAAATATAATTTAAATTTTAAATTTATTGTGTTTGTGGATATAATTAATTAATATGAAAAAGAAAATTTGATTATAAATTTAATTAAATTGTATTTCGAAAATTAAAATAATTTATTAGGTTAAATCTTTCAGATTAGTGTTCAATAAAAATAATGCATCAACTGGTTATCAAATAATATAAAATTAATATTAAAATAACGTAGAAAAAGCCAAAAGTAGAACATTTTAATATTTTAAAAATTTAATAAATACAGTAAACCTGTCTAAACACACAGAAATCAATTACATAACAACCCAAGTAGAATAGAATTTTTTGGCACGATGGCAGCAATATTCCAAATCATAAATGATGCTGTAACTTGTTGGATTAAATCACGGTTATCTTCTTGGTAAGAAGAGTTATTCTGTAAGTTTTTCTTTGTTAAGAATGTACTTTTGTTGTTTGGTAATTATATAGTAATGACAATGCAATTGAATGATGGTTCTCAAGTGCCAACTCTTGAACGGTGGTTCTCAAGTGGTGTTTTGCAAGAGATGGCTAATGTGTCACAAATATTACAACAGTATACTTTAGAAATAAGAAGAAACTGATTTGTACGAAGAATTGTAAACTAATATAAATGTGTGACTCACATGACAATTTAAGGTACTTGAAGTTACTCGGGTACCTTAAAATTGTTGTGTGTTTGTTTGACGGTGAGTTTTCTACCCAAAATTCCTCGGATAGAAGAATTATCATGAAATAAACAATAGTAGATTTCTCATCAAATGAAATATTTATATCTGTTATAATCATATTACTACTTTGTACTTATATAGAGTTTATCATCATTTTTACAAATGTAGATTAAAAACTAAAATAAAGTAAAGCATGTTTTTGTTATTTTATAACTACTCAAATTACATATTTTGCCCACAATTTGGAGTTAAAAAAATTTAAATTTAATTTTGACCCACCTTTGAAAAAGGTTTGCCATCATCAAACTACGTTAAGCCTGAAGGATAGCAGTTACTATAGTACACAACTATTTATAGTTTAATATATATTAATGCATTCTAATTAATTGAACTTACCACATGACTTCCAGCACATTGAGTATTCGACCACAAACATTTTTGGCACAGTTCTGAGGCCATCTTCAGATAAAACAACAAGAAAGAATTATAGTTCTACCGAGCTTCCATTCTTTCTTATTATTTCACTTGAAGAGAGCCTGTGAATGAGGCCAAAAACATTTGTGATTGAATACTCGACATGCTAGAATTTATGTGGTAAGCGTAAATTACTTATTACAGTAGACCCCCCTATAACGCGGGTTCCAATAACGTAGATTCCTATGACACGGCGAAAAAATTGTGTCAGTATTCGTACAAAAACGCTAAAAGAGACGCGTAAAATGTCATCGCCAACTCGTCATCACGAACGAGCAGCCGAACTATTTTCCGCCTTCTAGCACCACACTACAGAGAGTTTAGGCAGGTAAGTTGAGTTTAACTATTGTCTGTACAGTATTATATATAAATTAGATACTGTACATATAATTATATATTAATTATATATAAATTAGGTACTGTATATATAATTATATATTAACTTAATTTATTGTAACTTTATTATAATTATATATATGCTTTCTGCCACCTGGCAACACGCTACGGAGATTTAAGCTAGTAAGTTGAGTTTGTTATCGTCTGCACAGTATGTAAATTAGGTACCGTAAGTCTAATACAGCACTAATTTTATACATTTCTTGTGAAAGAAACACTTCTTATTCAACGGCCATAAAAATTATTTATATTAATGATGTCTCC